TTGGATGATATATTTTATCCCACAACAAATGTTATTGATAACCTATGGTGGCTGCCTGTCTCAAAATTATCAATTACATGACACTTTAGGAAGTCTTAGTGGATGGCTTCTATGTGTAATGGACATTGCTAGATTCCAGAGGTGATCAATATATAGACTCTGTCAGCAGAGAGCTCAAGATATCCTGGGAGAGACACACATGAATCAATCTAACAAAGACAAACTGTTTTAAGAGCTAAATATAACAAGATAAAGAACTGTGGGAATATGGTCAAATATGGTTATAATGGCACAATGACAATTTATTATAGGGAATTAATTCTAATTCAGAGAAGAAAGCAAGGAAGCATTTTAAACCTGGTTATGGTCCAATAGTAAGAAAAGAAACAAATGCAGAGACAGGTTCCCCTCTGACATCCCATCTGATGGCAAGAGCAGAACTGAAGATATTTCTCTGATTTCTGAGATTACTTCATTCCATAACCCTGGTATTTCTGCCTTTCTGAGCAAGCTTTAACCTCCAGTCACCAGTCGGGAAGCAATCTGCTGTTCATTCCTGAAGTCCCAGGGTTTGTCTTGCTGCTACCCATTCGCTTGGACTACTGTGCTGCCAATTTGGTACAGCATCTGATTTGAGGACATATTGTTTGGGGTAGCCTTCTTAGCCAGGGGACACATGGTGAGTAGAGTAGAAGGACAGCCTCATTGGCAAATACAGCCAAGAAATCACTGCAGGAGTGATAATTAATCTGTAGCTGAGGATAGAGGCAGGTTCACTATTCCTAGAATGCACTAGTTTATGTAGGATTGTCCTACACTCAAAATGCAGGCTTCATAGAATTGCTGAAGTAGTACTACCTATACTAGAAAGCGCTGAGAAAAGAGCAAATAGAGAATATGTAGTGACTTTTAAACATCCCTCTTACTCCTTATGAGAGCTAGTCTTTGTATACTGAGTTGTAATATATAAAGTTGAGTCACATTATTCTGAAGAAGGCAGTATCACTACCATCATTTTGTATGTGAGGAGACAGGCCCAGAGAGGTCCACCAGCTCTTTCAATCTCACTTAAGAATCACTGAGCAGCACCAGAGGTTCTTCGCAGGCTTTTACAACAGAGCTAATGTTTTCTCTGTCACATGATGTCACTTTATCTTTAGAATCTAGGATTTTAAACATGAAACTACAAGTGAGCATCTTATCCTGTTCATTCTTCCTCTGTCTCACTTGGTTGTTCTGTATGTCTGTCCTTGCAGTCTCACTGCTGTGCCAAATAACATCAGAAGAAGGTGTAAGAAGCAGTTAAAATGTCTGTTCTACACTTGGAACTCTAACCGGCAACAAACCCATCTTGGTCAATCTGGTTTCAGACTGTCAGTTTGTAATTCATTATTCTTGGATGGTGTCATTCTGTAGCAACCACATTGTTTGACTTCTGGTTAAAAACAACCACTGTGATGTAATTCTAGCTTTCCCATTGGTGGAAGAGTATACTTCCTTCTCCTATAAAGACATACATATACCTACTGTCAATTATTTTATGAAGAAGATCAGTAGGAGGGAATTAAACTCTCTGTAACAGTTCTATTTATCTATAATGTAATGACATGGCATTTAACAGATATGATGGCAGGATCTGTAGGTATTAAATGAGTTCATTTACACAACAAACTAGAACTGAGTATATAATTTTTTTATAAATGTTACTTGTACTCTTAACATTTTAGTAGTTTTTATAATAATTGGAGCTAATATAAACCTTATTTAACTGCATACTTCCTTACATATTATGTTAGCTATGGGCTGAATATTTTTACTCCCAAAAGCCACTAACCAAAATCATAGGCACGTTTCAAGGAGTCTCCAGTCATAAATATGTTTCATAAATAGTGAATATTTTCTTTGTGACAGTCACAGTGTTAGTGCTCTGAACAGGATCCCCATGTGTCTTCACTTCTATGGTATTCTTTTCTTCACTCCCAAATGTCCTTGCGTATTAAGTCACAATTACCACAGAAGCTGCATTTCACTGTATGTTACTTACTTGACATTATATAGATTGGGTGGAACCAGGTGAAGATGTGAAATAAGTAGTGATTGTTGCCTGCTTAAGTCTTATTATGGCACATATGGAATATAAAATACTTATGTTTGCTGAATATACAGATAATTGGATGTATGTGTGCAGTAATGTGCTTGATTTGGAACATATACTGCCTTGAGTTTTTAAGAGAAAAGCAAAACAATGTCTTCATGAAGCTACTTTCTGCTCCCATTTATCTGTGTTACCCACCAACAATCCATTATTTCCTGAGGAAGGCATCATTTTCTCAAAGATTGAAAATGGAAACATTTCTACCAAACTAAATTACATCAAATTTAAACATGGATTTTTAAGCCTTAACACAGACAAAGAATTTCCAAAGGGGAATTTGAAGACCAGCCTATACAGAAAGTTGATAGGAACGTTTGCAAGTAGAACCTTCACCATGACTGAATTTGCTAAGATGGGAAGGCACTTCAGAAGCTGAGATTAGACAGATATCATCTGATATATAACAGGAATATGTAGTACATTGAGCTGAACCATCTAGAAGTCTTCATTAAACCAATCTATGAAGCATAGGCTTCAAAATCAGTATGTATCATCAGAAATCACTTTAATAAAAACTGGTAAGATAGAAACAAACATTTCTATAACATTTTGAGGGTTGTAGGAAAACAAATGCCCATTTCCTTTCATTCTTTTGAGTTTTCAGAATTGACTCTCTCATTGGTACTATTAAAGAAGCATATTTATCCATTTCTTTCTTTTTTTTTTTTTTTGGAAACAGGGTTTCTAAGCGTAGTTTTGGTGCCTTTCCTGGGACTCACTCTGTAGTCCAGGCTGGCCTCAAACTCACAGAGATCCGCCTGGCTCTGCCTCCCGAGTGTTGGGATTAAAGGCATGCACCACCAACACCTGGCTATCCATTTCTAAATATTAACAAATTAAAAAACTAATACATTTGTATATAATCTCAAAACCAAGGATAGTTCATTAACATTTATGTTTTATTCTCATTTATTAGTAGGGAGATTAATACATATTAAGACACATATGCAGTTGAAGTAGTTGAATATCATGTAGCCTTCATTCTTCATTTTATAATATAAATAACACTGTAAAGTCCATCAATTATAAATACATTGACATTATTTTAGTGCTCACTAAATTTCCCATTAGCATACAAGAACTCACTACAGTTTATTTTGTGGAAAGACAATAGGAAATACATTAAGCCAGTTCTCCTACTCATTTTTCTAATTAGCATATTTTTGTTTTGCATTGAAATCCTTCATTTATTCCCTCAACTACAGATTACTTGGTGTCATGTTGAGTATAGAGCAAACATCCAGGTTGTGATTGATCAAATGAGACTTTAACTAATAATTGAAGATCTCTTTAAATAAATTAGCACTTAGATGATTATAATACAATGAATTAAACTCTATAGAAGGAATAAGATCAAAAATCTCTGAACTTAAAATAATTCAATAAGTTCCCCCAGAGAAATGAAGAGCAGTACAGAGAGGAATATACCTAAAATATCCCTTGACTTCGATATATTGGCACAGTCCATTGCTCTATGCTTACTAACAGTCTCAGTTATGAAGAGTATATAGTGAGTGCCCAACTTATTTTATTTCTTGAATAACATTGAATGACTACATAAAAATAAAGAGATCTTCTAAAATATTGTTACCGAGTAAAACTAAATTAGTTTGCAAGATTCTACACCTCAGTAACATATGATGTTCCTTTATAATACCATTCTTGGTACCATTTACTATATTCAAACTTTTTGAAAGTAATATACCTGTTGAAGAATGATTATTCAAATTTCTGGGGAATAAGAATGTTATAGCTCACTATATTATAGAGTATCATTAAGTTTATTTCTACCATTCAGCATTGTGACCAAAGTGATATTATTATATTATTCCTATTATGTATGCACCCCAGAGGTTCAGTTTGTCAGCAAGTCAGCCATATATTATCTGTACTGCCTACTATTCACACACATCTGTTTAGTTAGTTTCATAACTTGTCTCTTACAACCTCTGAATTCTTTGTAACTTCTCCTAAAAACTATATTTATAGATAAGAAAAGGAAAACAGAATAGCTCCATGATTTGCCTAAACTCCCAGTGATATTCATTGATGAATTCTAAATATTAAAAATGCTTTACATTCAGTGACCCATGTGGTAGTAACCATTCCCAACACATTACTGTTTCTGTTAAAATCCTGAAATGTCAGACATCAAGACAGATTACAGCTGATTCTCTAAAGTCCAAATGACTAACACCTTTACCCAAGTTTTCTCACACCCACATATCTGTTTATTTTAAAAATAGTAACAAACCAAATGAGTTCCAAACCATAAAAATTTCTATAAAACAATAATGTTTCTTTATCTCTTCCATGAAAACTCATTTTTTTTGTCTATATGTACACAGTTGATTGCCTGTATTCATGATTTTACTCTTGACCACAATGTCTACAAGCTTTCAAATCCTCACTACTGGAACCATGATACCCTATGAGGAATCATGATAGTACTTGGGAGTTTGGCAATAGCTATCTAAAGTCAACCTGTAGCTATTGACGCTTTAGTATTAGATTCCAAATTTATTCCCTTGTCCTAATATAATGTCAAATAAAGAGTAGCCTACACTGTCCCTCAACTGATACTGTATCAACTCCTCAACCAATACTGTAGCCTAACTTGAATTTTTCCTGTTCCTTATCATGCCTTACTCTTTGCTGATTTCTCTAAACCAAATATTACTTCTATAAAGCATTTGCACTTTTAGCCTTAGTTTAGGGTCTTTCAAGATAACAAACCACCATAATTTATAAAGTTTGGTATGATATCTACAGTCAGAATGATAGTAAAACTAATAATCCATTTAAATCCAATGAACTCATAATTTATGAAGAAATGTCAACCAACCTGTCCACAAAAGCATGATGAAGAAGAAAAATGGGATCATTGGCCGATCCCTGGACTTGGGACATTGTTCCATTCATATAGATATGCAAAGCATTGTGCATGCTGCTTTGAGAAGAATCTGCTATCCCTGTAAGTGGACTGGCAAATCCTGTTGACATAAAGGAAATTTTTAAAAAGTTAGTTTACTTAAATGATTGAAAATCTAAGTGATTTTCTCACTTCATCTATAGCTATAGAGGAAAGCCTAATTCTACATAAACAAAATCAATAAGTAAACACGTTTGATATTTCATTCTGAATATCCATTGAGATCTTTGAAGAATTGAAAGGTATTAGCTTGAGTATACTGTGTGATGGATTAATTGGTGAGATAGGCTGAGCCAATATGGAATCCCTCATGGTGCATTTCTGTTAAGTTCTTTGAATACTACAATGTCCTAAGAACCTTTCTAATAATAATCAGTGTTCACTGTTATTTAAATATGTAACAAACCCCTGGAGATATCCTTTACAGTGTCTTTATAACCTCTTGTTTTCTGGTTTTAACAAATATTTTAATTTTAGATCCTGGTTCCAGAAGAAGCGTAAAAATTGTTGTCAACCTTATTGTCATTCATCTGTAATTGTCCTAGGAACATCAGATCATCCTTTTTTTTATTTTTGTAGAACATTCATTTCACAGCTAATTAGAACTCATTCTCAAAAACAAAATTAAGTCCTCCTTTCTCTGTAAGGTCACTATAAGAACATACAATACTCTCTATTGTACTTTGTCATCTACAAGTGTGTAGGGGGCATTTTTCTAAGAACTTGTCATTATTAATTTCATACAATTAAGAGTCACCACATAAATTAGTTCTTTGCATTATCATAGATTTGAAAATGGGACTTAATAAGGAACTGCATACACTTACAGACTGGAACAGGGGTTGGAAGATAAACTGTTTAAGTACAGAGTTTAGCTCTCAAATGCAATGTTTCACTGTCTTTCCTATGTAGCAACAGATCATACATCATTGAGGAACATAGTCTATATATGAATAGGCTTCAAGTTTTTATCTTTAATCATAATCATAACTTGAAATGAAAGCTTTAGAACTTCATTTAATATACGATCTCAGAGATTTTTAACGTACATCCTAATTATTTTTACCAGAAATTAAGTGATTTCAGAGAAATAACTCAGAAATAATACACAGAGTAAAAAAAAAATAAAGGTAATGTAACTTTTAAAAGTTAGCCTCCTTAATGATTAATACTGACATCCATATCTAAACACCAAAATGAATTCATATTTCTTAATATTTTATAGTTTCTTTTATGTGCTTGCTTAAGAGTTTATTACCTACAGAATTATTATCCTAAATGTTACAAATTTTACAGTGTAGGTAATTTTAAGGTCGGTGAAGTTCAGGGATATACTGATCAAATCAAATTTATGTTGGAGAGGAAGAATAAGGCTGGGAGAGTGACTGATATCATGGCAGCAAGAGTTCATCACAGAGCATGGTACACTTAGGAACTGGTAACAAAATAAAGAACAAATATTCACACTGAGGAATAGTAAGTATATGAGGTAGCATATGTGATTTCTAGTTTGATTTAGTTATTCTATAATGTGTGTACCTATATCTTATACCATAAATACAAATGATTTTATTTGTCAATTAAAATAAAAGTAAAAATAAGTTAACTTAATACACTTTTCTGTAACTTAATCACTAACATCACCCTCTTTGGTAACATTAGTACCAATATTTGTAACATATTTTTTTTACAACATAGATAATTTTACCACCTCTGGAAAATGCTATATTAAAAGTAGAATCAAAATGATTTATTTCTAAAAATAATTATACAAGAGGATTTTTTAAAATCTTTTTAAAAAATTTGTAATTAGTTTAATTTTACATATCAGCCACAGATTCCCCTGTCCTCCCTCCTCCCATCCCACCCCCACACCACCCCATCCACCCCCTATTCCCACCTCGTCCAAGGCAAGGACTCCCTTGCGGATTCAGCTCAGCCTGGTAGATTCAGTTGAGACAGGTCCAGTCCCCTCCTCCCTTCACCTAGGCTGAGCAAAGTGTCCCAGCATAGGCCCTAGGTTCCAAAATGCCAGCTCATGCACTAAGGAGAACTACAGACCAATCTCCCTCATGAACACTGATGCAAAAATACTCAATAAAATACTGGCAAACAGACTCCAAGAACACATCAAAACAATTATCCACCATGATCAAGTAGGCTTCATCCCAGGGATGCAAGGGTGGTTCAACATACGAAAGTCTGTCAATGTAATACACCATATAAACAAACTGAAAGAAAAAAAACACATGATCATCTCACTAGATGCTGAAAACGCATTTGACAAAATTCAACATGCCTTCATGATAAAGGTCTTGGAGCGAACAGGAATACAGGGAACATACCTAAACATAATAAAGGCAATTTACAGCAAGCCAACAGCCAACATCAAAGTAAATGGAGAAAAACTCAAAGCGATTCCACCAAAATCAGGAACAAGACAAGGCTGTCCACTCTCCCCATCCTTATTCAATATAGTACTTGATGTTCTAGCCAGAGCAATAAGACAACATAAGGAGATCAAGGGGATACAAATTGGAAAGGAAAAAGTCAAACCTTTGCTATTTGCAGATGACATGATAGTATACGTAAGTGACCCCAAAAATCCAACCAAGGAACTGATATAGCTTATAAACACCTTCAGCAATGTAGCAGGATACAAGATTAACTAAAAAGAAATCAGTAGCCCTCCTATATACAATTGACAAATAGACTGAGAAGGAAATCAGAGATACTTCACCCTTTACAATAGCCACAAATGATATAAAATGCCTTGGGATAACTCTAACTAAGCAAGTGAAGGACCTGTATGACAAGAACTTTAAGTCCCTGAAAAAATAAATTGAAGAAGATGTCAGAAAATGGAAAGACCTCCCATGCTCATGGACAGGCAGGATTAACATAGTAAAAATGGCAATCTTACCAAAAGCTATCTACAGATTCAGTGCAATCCCCATCAAAATCCCAATACAATTCTTCACAGACCTGGAAAGAACAATACTCAACTTCATATGGAAAAACAAGAGGATTTTTGAAGGTGCAATATTGTCAGGAGAACTTCATAACCTCTCAGCTACATGTGTTTTAGAAAATTATAGTAGAATAAGGACTGAAAAATAAATTCCCTTCAAATTCTCTGTGCTTTGTGTTCTTCTGAGAGCGTGATGCACTGTCTAGCCCTGTTTGAAGCCAGTGATGTAATGGGTCAAACAGACCTAGCTTTAACTTCCAGGTTTTTTGCTAGAAAGATGTACAGCATTTGTCAATTTAGGTAACTTTTTTGCCTCACTTTTGTCATTGATGTAATAGAGGAAAACTAAACACATTTCTTAGGATGTGAAAATGAATTCTGATAACTGGTGTGAAAGCACTGAGCATCGATCTGATACCAGCAGAACCTACCTGAGTAATAACTGCCCTCTCTGTGGTCTGGTTTAGTTGATAAAGGAGAACTCATTGTTGAAGCTGCTAAAAAAAACATTCCTTTCCTGTGTGTGGCCAGCAGAGGTTGGCAGTAAGATAGTTTTCTCCACAAAACACACAAAGGAATTTTAAAGATTCCTAATGTGGGACAAACTATTAGAGATTTAAATGATACTAACATGGAAATAAATCATTTTCTATTTCACTTCTCCACAGTTCATTTGGAGATGTAAAGGAACATTATGGCTACTGAAATTATCTTTACAAAATAGAAATGATTACCTGTCAATTGCATTTCTCATTGCATTTTGCTCTTTTCTAAAAGAAAAATTCCATTACTTCCATAAAGCCAAACATTCACATATCATTCATGGACATAGTCTTGTTTGAGCAACAGGATTTCTTGACACTGGACAATATTGTTGTTGTCCCAATATTACTGATGAGAAAACAGCTGTTTATAAATTTATGTAAAACATCTAAAGTCAAACTAGTATTTGAAGAACAAACCAGTGAAACATAACTGCAATTGACTTCCAAACCTGCGATCTTTCCAAATAGCTGGTTAGGTGTCTTCAAATAGATCAAAAATGTCACAAAAGCAAGATCAAATAATTTATTTTGACTTTTTGTAATCCAAATCAGAGTCTCAACTATTTCTGTATTTAAAAGAAAATGTCTGACAGAAATTGAGAATAAGAAAGTTAATCTCCGTAAAGCATGTGAAGTTACATGTGAACTTTCAAACTCTTTGTGCTATGTTCTTGGACTGAGTTTATAAACGTGCCTCTTTCAAAGTCAATTGCATTAGGGAAAGTACAGGATGTGAGAATGGTATTGCATTTGCTTGTTCTGGGATTCCCCCATGGACAGAGAACATCCAGCAAGCCAGTAGGGAACATGGTAGCAACCCTAGATACCAAAATGGCTCAACACTCTTTACAAAGGGCAGCACCAATAGCTCAACATATTGAGAGGTATGCCTTTAAGTTCATGTGTGTCGTTCCTATGGGAAATTTAGGGGCCGTTTCAGATGAGTGACAATGGGGAGTTTCAATTTGTCAACCCATCTCCTTTCCTCTTTTATTTCTCCCCCAGTTCTCCTCTAGAGAGGTTTGGCTTATTTGTTTGTTTTAGACATCGATGTTTATCTCTGATACCTGGAGATTTGGATTTAATTGTTTTAGAATTGAACTCAGTCACTTAGTGTCTTAAAAGCCCCTAAGTGATTCTAATGTGCAATCGGGGTTGAAATGTACTGAATTCGACTAAATTGTTCTTTGTTCTCTAAACCTAAACTATGCTTCAAAATATTTACCTCTGATCATATTATTTCCCTCACATGAACTTTTTCTCTTCTATATTTTGACATTAAAAAAAGAGAACCAACAATAATTCTACCTTTAAAATCTCACTGCAAACTTACACTGTAAAATATTTTCTTAGAAGTAGCTGCTCCATATTTTTTTGAAAATCAGTTAGCTACTATATGGAAGGTAATGCAAAGGCATTTTCATGTATGTTTTCGTCTTTAACCAGACACCTTTCTTTCCATGATGTAAGATCACAGGTGATGTTGAACTTACTTTATTATGCCTCCTCTTAAGTTTTGAAGTGTGAAAAGACAGGTAACTAAAT